AACAGATAAAAAAGATGAAGTGAACTTACTCAGTTTCTGCGGGCAGGAACGCACCATGTGACCAGCTTCGCCGCAGTACAGGCACAGATTCTGGGAGCGTCTGCGCTGGCGTTCCTCAGGCGATAGTTTAGGCCGAGCCAGGCCTAGCTGCATGGGTTCGGGGGCATCTTCAGCCGGCAGGTTCTGGATGCTTGGCCTAGTATGTTGACCGGATTCCTGAAATGACCCCCAGGGATTTCCGCGACCCTGACCAGACCTCTCCAATCTGCGCTCCCGTAGCCTACGGTCAATTTTAATAGTGAGTGCAATCAAGTCCTCTAATATCTCGGGCACCTCTACCCGGGCGAGCTCGTCTTTCAGAGCCTCAGATAGGCCCATACGAAACTGGTGTAAAAGGGCGAACTCGTTCCAACGAGTGTCACCCATCCAGCGCCTAAAGTCAGAGGCGTATTCCTCAGCCGTCCGCCGACCTTGTCGGAGTGTGTATAACGTGGCCTCGGCCGAGGCCGCCCGTTGTGGGTCATCATATAAGATGGCCATAGCGTTAAAAAAGCTGTCGACCGAAATCAGGTGAGGGTCATTGTTTCCCCTTAGTCGGTGGGCCCAGTCTTGGGGTTCACCCTGCAGCAGGGAGACAACAAACCCCACTTTCACTGACTCTGTCAAAAAGGTCCGTGGCTGTAGTTCAAAAAAGAGAAGACAAGAGTCACGAAATGACCGAAAACGTGTGCGATCCCCATGGAAGCGCTCGGGTAAGGGTACTCGGGGTTCCGCCATAGGGAGTGATGTGGGAGGCCCAGGAGCCGGCTCATGGGCTGCTGCGACTGGAGGTGCAGGAGCCGGGGCCTGTGAAACAGGAACAGATATGGTGCAGGCCTGAAACCGATTCTCGATCTGCAGACATCTGTCCTGTAATGTGTTTACAGCCTGCGTCAGGGTAGACAGGTGCCTGCACACCTCGTCCAACGGGGGTGAGTCCTCCTCGAGGCTCAGTCATGGCCTTCTGGTACTGTGAGGGACCGCCGAGCGGCACCACTAGCACTCCACCGGTCAGGCGTGCCCAGAGCGCGGAATCTAAGCCCCAGGGTACTTGTTCACCAGGCCCCTGATGGTGGGGATGGACTTGTAGTACCCTGAGACCAGGTCGCCTCTACTGAGCACACCTGTCAGTGGTAGGGGTGTCCGCCAGGGGTTCCAACCAGGGAGAGCCAAATGTGAGGAGGTCGGGTGACCCTGATGGGATGGATGGATGGATGGCTGAGCAAGTACGTAGTCAGACAGGCCGAGTCGGTAATGTAGAGGACGGTAAGGTACAAGGGAGCAGGCAGAGAATCGTCGGGTCACACGCCAGGTCAGCAACAGGAGGTCAGATCTACAGAGGGGCATCCAGGGAGAGAGGTCAGGCAAGCAAGGGTCTGGGCAGGAGAAATCAGCAAGGTCAAGAGCAATCCGGGTCAATAACTTACAGTATACAGGTTCACAGGATCAGGAATGCAGGTAAGACCAGAAGGCAACGAAATGACAGCTCAGGGACCTTTAAATATCCCGCCCTGCGCTGCCATTGGTGCCCAGCGGGCGGCCGCGGCTTCTACTGCGCATGCGCGAACTCGAACGCCGCGGCCGGCCCGGACCTAGTGCCCGTGTACTGGGAGGAGCAGTGCGCCTGCGCCGGGACCATCGAGGGACGGATCGCGGGGATCCCTGACAGGCGCAAGGGAGAGAAGACAGCCGGTGAAGCCAGCCATGGTGAGTACACCGCTGGATCGAATGACAGGTGAGTGGCTGTATTTTAAAAGTCAGCAGCTACAGTTTTTGTAGCTGCTGACTTTTTTTTTTTTTTTTTCAGGTGGAACTCCACTTTAATTGACCACCTGCCGCCCGCCATATAGTACAATGACGGGTGCAAGGTGGTTCTCTCATTCTGGGACGACGTCATAAGACGTCCTCCTATTCTAACCGCGCATGCGCAGCTCCAGGAGCGTGCAGCGCGGCAATCGGCAGTGCACCGTGTCCCTCGGACACAGCAGATCACCGATCAACGAAAAGAGCTGAAGATGTCGGCTCGGTCATCTGATCAGCTGTGTCCAATCACAACTGATCACATGTAAATAGGGAAATGCCGGTTATCGGCATTTCTCTCTTTGCGAGCTGTCACGCTGACAGCTCGTGAGGAGAGGAGAGCCGGTAATCGGTATTCCTCAGAGGGGACATCTACACTGATCATCAGGGCACTGATGATCATTGTGCCCTGATGATCAGTGTACCCCAGCCATGCAACCTGTCAGTGTCCATCAGTGCCAGCTGTCAGTGCTCATCCATGCCACCTGCCAGTGCCCATCAGTGCCACATTTCAGTGCCTACCAGTGCACATCAATGCCACATATCAGTGCCCACCTGAGCTGCCTTTCAGTGTCACCCATCAGTGCCAGTCAGTGCCACCTATCAATGCCAGTCAGTGCCACCTATCAGTGCTGCCAATCAGTGCCACCTATCATTGCCAATCGGTGCCGCCTGACAGTGCCAGTCAGTGCCACCTAACAGCGCCAGTCAGTGCCACCCAACAGTGTCAGTCAGTGCCACCTAACAGTGCCAGCCAGTGCCGCCTATTAGTGCCAGTCAGTGCCATATATGAGTGCTGCCTTTCAGTGCCCATCAGTGATGCCTGTCAATGCCCATCAGTGCCACCTACCAGTGCCTCCTCATCAGTGCCACCTATCAGTGTCCATCAGTGCAGCCTATCAGTGCCCATCAGTGCAGCCTAATTAGCACACATCCGTGAAGGAGAAAAATCACTTATTTACAAAATTGTATAACAAAAACTAAGAAAAAACATTTTTTTTTCAAAATTTTCAGTGGTTTTTGGTTTGTTTAGGAAAAAATAAAAAACCCAGAGGTGATTAAATACCACCAAAAGAAAGCTCTATCTGTCTCAAAAAAATGATAAAAATTTCATATGGGTACACTGTTGCATGACTGCGCAATTGTCATTCAAAATGTGATAGCGCTGAAAGCTGAAAATTGGCCTGGGTAGGAAGGGGGTATAAGTGCCCTGTAGGCTAGTGGTTAAGGGAACTGTCAAGAAAGCAAACAAAGGGGATTACTAAAATATAAAAACCTTGGCACCTGGATGTCTTCATGCAGAAATAAATATTTAAAGTGGAGCTAAACCCTAAAGGTGAAGTTACGCTTTAACGACCCGTCCTCTGCTTCAGTTTCTGTAGCTGCTAACTTCCATTTGTTTTCACCGGAATCTGGAGCTCTGCTTTAAAGTAGATCTACAGCAAGGCTATAGACAGGGGCGGACTGACAACTCATGGGGCCCCCGGGCAATAGGGGATCATGGGGCCCCTGTATCCTTGCCCAAACTCAAAAAAGCCTATAAAAAAGGTACCAGGGGCATCTCATGGGGCCCCCTACTGACCCCGGGCCCTTGGGCAGTGCCCGAGTTTCCAAATGGTCAGTCCGCCCCTGGCTATAGACAATGAAATATTTACATATTCTGAAAAAGCAGTACATGAGCTTTAAAAGAAGCCTTCCCTGACCTTTGCAGCTGCAGGATACATCAAAAACACTTTTCCCTTTCCAAAGCGGAGTTTATTTTGTTCCCCCCTTGCAGCAGGCACTTGGCAGCTTGCCAGCCTTCTATATAAACACAGCAGGTACAACAAGGAGGGGAGAGCAGGTCATGTCATGTCCCAGAACACTTCACTGCATCTCCTGTGAACGTTTAGATGTAATAGCAGCCGGTCACACTGATGCAATGTAAAATTATGCGATTTGTGTGCAATTTCAGCACGATTTGAGGTGAGATTTCTGAAGACTTTATTGTTACTTGTGAAGATTTTCCACGATTTCTTGCAATTTGCAGTGCGATTTCCATTATTTTCTATGTAATGAAATCGCAACAAAACTTCATAAACAGTAATGCAAGAACTACTTTAGAAATCGCACATGTTAAGACACTGACATGCACATTCATTAGATGCGATTTCAATTCGCAAATTGCAGCTGAAATCGCACCAGTATGATCAAGCACTTAAACTCAAAACCAAAAATGTAATATATTGCAGTTTACTAATCATTACATGTGGTGGCTGCATTAGTTTTCCTTGTTTAAGGTTTTTTTTCCCTTCTGGTGATCTGACCAGTAACACACCTACAGTACTAGAGTAGCCCCTCTCTAACCCTAGGTTCACACCTAAGCGGTATGCAGAAACACGCTACAGTCCATTTAACATGATTTCCTATGGGACACGTTCACATCTCCGCGTTTTCACCCGTTGCACATTTTGGAAAGGGTCAGGGACTTTTTCAAATGCAAAAAGTTTTTGGTTCTATAGACTTCAATAGAAACGCTGCAGAAAAACATGTAGTGCGTTTTTGCCACAATTTTATGTGGCTTTGATGTGTTTTGCGTTTTAAATCTGCCTAGAAACAAGAAAAAAATTTAAATCACATCAAAAACGCATCTAAAACGCACGTGTAAAAACGCAAAATGCAATGCAGAAACGGCTAAACCACAAACTGCATAAGTGTGAACCTAGCCTAAATGAAGCAGTACGGGGGGGGGGGGGGGGGGGGGGGTTGGTTGGCATAGCAGGTATCAGCATTGTCAGTCTGGGGGGGGGGGAGAGTAAAATGTATCAGCAGACTTGAATACAAACAACAAGTTAAAGCCAAACTCCAGCTCACACTCTATAACCAGTTACAGCAAACAGTTTTTTTTTCCTTTTGGGATACAGGCTTTACACGATTAAATAAAAGATGATCATTTTAATCACGTCACTAGTGGTAAATGGATTGTCTCATCCATGTGAACTGATACATTCTGCTGGAGAGCTTGAGCTTCTGAAAAACAGTAGACTTACTGGCTGACTCATTAGATGAAATAGAAGCAAGAACACCTAAAAAAGGAAGCTAATACATCCATCACATCTAAGAACTGGTAAGCTGCCATATAAATAAATGTTTCCTTCTGGATTTAATACCACTTTAATTTCTCTACAGCACGGGTGTCAAACTGGCAGCCCTCCAGCTGTTGCCAAACTACAAGTCCCATGAGGCATTGCAAGGCTGACAGTTACAAGCATGACTCCCAAAGGCAGAGGCATGATGGGACTTGTAGTTTGGCTTTGGAGGGCTGCCAGTTTGCTCTACATTGTCTGCAATTAGGGCTGAGTGAGGTGAGGGCTTGTTATAAAGCTAGCTAAAAATACAGACAACTTGAAAGGATATCTGAAAGCCAAGACTTTATGAACAGACTAGGAAATGGTTAAAACCCATCAGGAGAGATTTTCCTTCATTTCCTGCCCTGGAAACACAACAAAAAGTGAAAGGAAATCTCCTATAAAGCTTGCCATAGATAGACCAAAAGAAAAAACGCAGATCCCTTAATGCACGCAACTGAGGTGTATAGAGGAATCCTCTGTGCTGAGACATTGTATTCTGCTGTGAGTATACACTGATTTATTTATTATTTATTTCAGGTACTTACAGTGGGGCAAAAAAGTATTTAGTCAGTCACCAATTGTGCAAGTTCTCCCACTTAAAAAGATGAGAGGTCTGTAATTGGCATCATAGGTAGACCTCAACTATGAGAGACAAAATGAGAAAACAAATCCAGACAATCACATTGGCTGATTTGGAAAGAATTTATTTGCAAATTATGGTGGAAAATAAGTATTTGGTCACCTACAAACAAGCAAGATTTCTGGCTCTCACAGACCTGTACCTTCTTCTTTAAGAGGCTCCTCTGTCCTGCACTCATTACCTGTATCAATGGCACCTGTTTGAACTTGTTATCAGTATAAAAGACACCTGTCCACAACCTCAAACAGTCACACTACAAACTCCACTATGGTGAAGACCAAAGAGCTGTCGAAGGACACCAGAAACCAAATTGTAGACCTGCACCAGGCTGGGAAGACTGAATCTGCAATAGGCAAGCAGCTTGGTGTGAACAAATCAACTGTGGGAGCAATAATTAGAAAATGGAAGACATACAAGACCACTGATAATCTCCCTCGATCTGGGGCTCCAAGCAAGATCTCACCCCGTGGGGTCAAAATGATCACAAGAACGGTGAGCAAAAATCCCAGGACCACACGGGGGGGGGGACCTAGTGAATGACCTGCAGAGAGCTGGGACCAACGTAACAAAGGCTAGCATCAGTAACACACTACGCCGCCAGGGACTCAGATCCTGCAGTGCCAGACGTGTCCCCCTGCTTAAGCCAGTACATGTCCGGGCCCATCTGAAGTTTGCTAGAGAGCATTTGGATGATCCAGAAGAGGATTGGGAGAATGTCATATGGTCAGATGAAACCAAAATAGAACTGTTTGGTAGAAACACAACTCGTCGTGTTTGGAGGAGAGAGAATGCTGAGTTGCATCCAAAGAACTACATACCTACTGTGAAGCATGGGGGGGGTGGCAACATCATGCTTTGGGGCTGTTTCTCCGCAAAGGGACCAGGATGACTGATCCATGTACAGGACAGAATGAATAGGGGCCATGTATCGTGAGATTTTGAGTGCAAACCTCCTTCCATCAGCAAGGGCATTGAAGATGAAACGTGGCTGGGTCTTCCAACATGACAATGATCCCAAACATACCACCCGGGCAACGAAGGTGTGGCTTCGTAAGAAGCATTTCAAGGTCCTGGAGTGGCCTAGCCAGTCTCCAGATCTCAACCCCATAGAAAACCTTTGGAGGGAGTTGAAAGTCCGTGTTGCCCAGCCACAGCCCCAAAACATCACTGCTCTAGAGGAGATCTGCATGGAGGAATGGGCCAAAATACCAGCAACAGTGTGTGCCAACCTTGTGAAGACTTACAGGAAACGTTTGACCTCTGTCATTGCCAACAAAGGATATATAACAAAGTATTGAGATGAACTTTTGATATTGACCAAATACTTATTTTCCACCATAATTTGTAAATAAATTCTCTCCAAATCAGCCAATGTGATTGTCTGGATTTGTTTTCTCATTTTGTCTCTCATAGTTGAGGTCTACCTATGATGCCAATTACAGGCCTCTCTCATCTTTTTAAGTGGGAGAACTTGCACAATTGGTGGCTGACTAAATACTTTTTTGCCCCACTGCATATAGCACCGTCAATTTACGCAGCGCTTTACATATATATATATATATATATATATATATATATTGTACATTCACATCAGTCACATCACTGATCAGCGGATGCATCCCATTGGCTGCAACTGCTGATCGAGAAACATTTTCCAGCAAGCCTGACCAGGAGCAGCCACACGTGGATTTAAATTCGGCCAGGTTCATCTATCTAGATCCATCTATGGCCAACTTTAGCTGTCACTAGAAACAATGGCCCCACTGAAAAATATCCCCCTTTATTCATGTTCCAATGACATTACGGACTCTCCATTCATTTTTGTCTAAGTGACAACAGCAACCAAAATAATTGGTGGGTAAACCCTTCCCTACTTTAAAAAAATGACTTCAGATGTGCTTAGTTTTATTGGTAATGTTTATGGGAAAACTGAACAACATTTGTATCATTAAACATTAGAAATGCTGTTAAGGGTTTGTTTCAATTGCCATTTTTAAATATGTCAAGTAATGAGCATTGGTTCTTTCTCTGAGGATGTGCTTGGCACGTAACGCGTAAGGAGGAGCCTACGCATGCCGTGACATCACACCATCGGAGCATCGTGGAGCGCCGGCGGCTACTATATCTGATAGGATAAATATCTGAAAGGTTAGTCCTTTCTGTAATCGTTTTACTCTTACTGGATGCATCCACCTTTTTGCTGTTACTCGCCCTTCAATAAATTTGTATTATTTAGCAATACTTCACTATGGGTATTTTTTTGTTTTGACCCCCTGCGGGGAGCATTTTTTCACAGACATCGTTTTGCCCAGTGGAGGAGTTGTGCTCTTTTGGTGGAGCAATGCCCGTTCCTTTCTATCACCAAGTGGAATCTCTCCTGCTCAGCTCTGCACCATCTGAGGAACTTGTTTTGATCAGGGGAACATCTTTATTATTTCCATTCCGATGATTACTCCACAAGCCTAATGATTACTACACTGCACATTTAATGTGCACATCTGGTTAGTGTGCATTTGTACTGCAAGTCACCTTTGCTGGGACTTTTATAGACATTATTTATTTATTGTGACATATTTTTATGCGTTTGTTTTTTATGTCTTATATTAGCGCTGCACTTTTATTTATAAGTAATGAGTATTGTTTCATTTCAGATATTAACCACTTCCTGTCTGGCCCATGTACATAAACAGCCGGAAGGGAGTGTTGCTGAAGCGGGTGGCCATTTATAAACGGCCCCCGCATTCACTGCCTGTGCGCGCACCCGGGGAGTGCACGGCACCGCGAACCAGTGGAACACAGAACGCTGTACGGGACCTCTGTGTGAGGTCCCTATTCATGTGATCCCTGATTGGCCAATCAGTGATCACATCAATAGTAGTAAACAAGATGTCACTTCCTGACATCATTGCTTACTACATGTGAAATCTGTGAATGATCACAGAGGTCACATGGTACAAGGCTATTCACAACAGCCTTGTACCATGTGACAAGCTGTGACCAATCACTGCTCACACAGTATTTCTCAATGGCTGCAAGAATGCAGGAGAAATCATTGCCTTTATAGCCTTTATGGGTGTAAAAGCAATCAGTGTAAAAAAAGAAAAAAAAATCTTCATCACCCCCCACAAGTAGTACAGTGTCACTATGATGCCACTTTACTGCAAGGGTGACAGTATGTTTAAAAAAAAAAAAAAAAAAAATACAAATGTAAAAAATTTTTTTTTTTAAATTATAATTTTTAGTTAGAAACTCATTTGGGTTATTTTTTTTTTAATAAAAAGATAGATGAATACATTTTGCCCAAGATTTTATGAAGAAAGATTATTTATTTGCAAAATTTGCAAAATTGTATAAGAAAAATACTTTTTTCTTCAAAAAGTTTGGATTTTTTCATTTATATAGCAAAAAAAAATAAAATCCCAGTGGTCAATAAACACCTCCAAAATAAAGTTTTATCTGTCTAAAAATAATGCTAAAAAATTAATATGGGTACAGTGTTACATGAATTGTCCTTCAAAGTGTGATAGCACTGAAAGCTGAAAATTGGCCTGAACAGGAAGGGGGTGAAAGTGTCCGGACTTGAAGTGGTTACAGAAAAGCAATGGAACTGCTATAAAAAATTTGAAAGAAATACTTAATATCATGTTGATGTAATAGCAAGGATATGGGGATCTGATTGTAAGTTGTAAATGAGAGCAAGCGTTTGCAATTTTCTCTGTCCCCATTTGTTTCCTTAACTGTGAACATTTGATCTCCACTACACCTCAGATCTTCACTTCACTATCCATGATGAAGAAGATAAGCATTTTTTCTTAAATGTCTTTTTTATTGGACAGTTTTTCATAGGCACAGTACAGTGAGGCCTTTATATGACAGACTTCACAATCTTCGGATCTCCTAAACTATCTCAGCTTAATTCAGCTGCCCTGGCTCTCTCCAACCAACACAAACAACCAAAGTCCCAAGTTTATTGAAGCTATATAATGAAATAGTTCAACAGGCCCAATAAAGATCATCTATTTTGCTAAACCTTGGTTGAGACCAATTTCATAAGAATGTCAAAATCCAAGCTACAGCCTTGGCACAACAATTAAATTGAAATCCCCTTTGAAAACGAGCGTGCTGCTCGAAACATGTCAGGGGATCCACCCAATTGACGCCTTTTACCACCAGGGAACCACTAGCCACCAGGTAGCCTGGGAATCAGACCTGGATGTTTTTATGCTTATGTGAGTTCCTTCCTTTTCTGTTTGTTTGCATTACTTTGAATAAACGTACTTCACTATTAGTACCTTCTTGCCCCCCGGCTCGTTTATGATGAGCTTTGCAAGGTGGTGTTCTGGAGTGAAGGGCCATTAGATACCTGGACATCGTTGGACCTGCTGGTGAGTCTGAGGGGACCCTCGAGAGTGTGTGTACCATCATCCCTGAGTGTCCACTATGGTGACCAGATGCTGCTCATGCTGCTGACCAGACCTTGATGTCCAGCTTATGATGATTTACATACAATGCCCAAATTGTATGTCTATGTGGTAAGCGCATAACCACACTATATCTTTTTCCATTTTATCAAATTGGATTTGAA